AGTTTTTACATGATGAGGGGTTCCATCAACAAGCACTGAGTGGGAAATGTTGATTCTAGTAACCCAGCCCATCGTGGATGTACTTGTAGATCTACTGTATAGGATTATGACCTATACAGTATCTCCCACCTAGAACTGTCTCTGGGCATCTTGTGGTGTAGGGGTGGTCACTGGATCAGTACCCTGTATCTGGTCATTTTAGGTGTGTATAATGTTGGCCAGTGCTGTAGAGGTTGAGACAGTCCTTTGGCATGATGTTATACCAGTAGATCACCTCTGGTATGGAATATCGTTTCCTAGCTGCCATGGTTTTTACACTTCTCTGGTTTCTCTCAATTATACCATTTCCCACCACTTCCTAGGCACACCAGAATTGAAGATGCATACCCCAGTCATGCAGGAACTGCTGAAAGTGTTGGCCAGTAAATGCAGTGTCATTGTCAGGTAATCAACCAGTGGGCGATGCTTATAAATTATAGACTCCAACTGGTGTAAACATTTGCCAAGTCCAGCCAACTTCAAAAGTGCCAAATGGCCAATCATGTGGGATCACAATCAATAAGTGTCAGATAGTGGCCACTGTCATGATAAATGATGTCCACTCTTAAACTGCTCCAATTGTTCTTCATGTGAAGCCTTCCTTTTTGCCAGTGTACAGGTGCAGGATCAATTGACTGGCATACCTCACACATCTTTACTGCCATTTGTACATTGGCTTTTAAAACAGTCAGTTATATCCATTTGGCATAATATAATGTGTGTTTTATCCCAGGGTGTCTACTTCATTGTGTACTATCTGATGAACTCACCCAATTTTTAGAAGCAGTACACATATACTGGATGGGATCAACTTCTGTTTTTACTCTGCTTAACCACCACTGAGGTACTGTTGTTAGTTTTTCAGCTTTGTTATCATCTGACTTGACAAGTACTACATTTACTGATAGCTCATACTCATTAATTACGTCTATGAGCATGTTGAGCCATCTTCATAGCAGCATTTCATTGGCTGCTTTGTTGATTAGTTGTGCCTTCCCTGTTAGGTCATTTGAAATTCTTCAGTGTATGCAGACTGAATCTGTCATGAAATGTCATGCCTTTGCCTTCCACTAGAGTGCCAAGTTAACTCCCTTCAGCACTGCATCAAGTTCCGCCTGTTTAATGCGTTGCTTGTTATTCACTGGATGAAACCAGTGCAAATCTTCAATGACTGATCTGTCAGTTTTCAGCGTGACAAGAGATCTTGTTTCCACCCAAACTCTGACTTTGCATCCATTTACATACCAATCACCTCTCACATGATTGTCCTACTGCACCCTGACCTGTGTCTCTACTAGCATGCTCCTGAGGTGGGGAGACACCATTTGTTTCGTCATCCCAACCAGTTGTAACCTTGTTGGCACAATGTTTCATATAAGTTGTTGCCATGTGGAGCCAACCACAAATGAGAAAATGACCAACAGGTTTTCTGCACACTGAGATGGTCCACCTTGTTATAACAGATGGGACTCTGGAGTGTCTCCTCCTTGTGTCCAGCATAGTGTGTTGCTATAGTTTTGAATCTGCAGCCTCAGCACATGTGCCCCATCTTGAAGCCACTTGGGGGTCTTGCAAGATTGTGCAAATTTTTCCAGGAGTTCCTTCACCTGATCTATGGACACTAGTCATTCATTGCATTGATGAAGACATCATCAATGTATGATGATGTGGCTTGTTGTATTTCTCTTCATGGGACATCACTAAGCTCATAATGGATTGTATTATTATTGGTGCAATGTTCAAACCAAATCCAAGTTTGTGTGAGGCAATACTTCTGCCCTGTAACGTAGAGCCACAGTAATTTGTGTATGTATACCTGACAGTATGCCCTCCTCAGGTCCAAAATGGCAACATTAGATCACTTATGCCAATGTTGACCCCACCCACCATTCAGTCCCAATGCTGCTCTCAGTGACTGGGCCTATTCTATTCAATGGCACACTTCCTCCATGACCAATGATTCTACACATTTGAGAAAGTGAAGGAAGCTTGTTTACAGATTTTTGATTCTAAGCCAGTGGACTGGTATCTGGAACAGATTCAAATGATAGCTGATCACTGGCAGAAGATCATTGAAAAATCAAACAAGTACAAAAATTGAAATATATGGGATGTGTTCTTAAACGAGGACAGAAAGCATGACACTGTGATCCGAAGATATATTGGGATGGCCAAAGATGCATTCCAAATGCTAAGCAGAGTGTTAAGAGACAGAAAAACTTTGTTAAAAACGAAGAAAAGAGTAATGAACTGTTGCATAATATCTGCCCTCCTATAGGGCATTGAATATTGAACACGCCTCAAAGATGAAGAAGAGACTTGAAACAGCAGAAATGTCATTCTACAGAAAGATGCTGAGGATACCATGGAATGAACATTTAAGCAACAACAAATTTTAGAGAAAACGGAAACAAAAAGGAAACTTATACATAACATCAGAAAGACGCAGTTGAAATTTCTGGGGCATGTAATGAGGAAGGAGGGCTTGGAAAATCAGATACTCACAGGACAGACTGAGGGAAAGTTGGGTAGAGGAAAACAGCAGACAACATATTTGAGGGGCTTGACTAAATGGGTAATAGAACAGGGTTTGGAAGAACTAACAAAAATGCAAAATTTATTAAGCACTACAAGGGATGGGATGATGTGGAGAGCTATTATCGCCTATGTCCTGAATGGACACACTACTACAAGAAGAAAGTAAATAAATAAAATGGTGTTATCTATTAGGGAAGTGGTGGATAACTATTCCTTTTAATGATGCTTGCTGATTAGTCTAATTGGTAAAATGCTGTCATGGTAAGAGAGGTAGCTTGGTGAAAATTGCTAATTTGTCACATTTCTTGAGCCAAAGGTGTCAGAAAATTGATAGTGTACCTTTAATGGTGGATATGAAAAAATTGGTCTGGAACCTCTGTTGAAATTTAAATATAGATAGTTGTCATTTTATTTTAATGAAAAAAAATCTTAAATATGTCTAAACATGGTTTTACCAATTTTCAAATTTTGACCAATTTTTTCATATCAGCCATTAAAGGTACACTACCAATTTTGTGGCACCTTTGGCTCAAGAAATGTGACAAATTAGCAATTTTGACTAAGCAGCAGATGTCATATAATTACTATTCAATAATACACTTCTGACAAACCAATTATACTTTTCTTATATCTTTAGAGTGTCAACTGTGAGAAATGGAAATTTATTCTCCTCTTATATGTCATGTTCCATCAGAATGTTGGTGACCATGGCTCTCCACAATTTTCTGTCCTTTGTAACTCTTAGTATATTTTCACTATCTTTCTTATACCCTTTTCTTCTAACCATTTCCACATGTTCATTAGGTATGTTATCTGCGGCTTTTTTCTATCCCTCTTGCTTTCAGTGGGTTATTTTTCAAGCCCTCCTTCCTCATAAAATGGCCCAGGAATTACTGCTGTCTCTTTGTGATTGTAAATATAAATAGACTTTTTTTATTTTTCTTAAAAATCCATCCCTGGTATTCTCAGTCCTGTTTCCACCGATTCTAACATTGTATTATCTGGCTATTAGTATTACTATGCCACTAAACTCAAAACCCAACACTTTAATCACATTAAATATTATTAATATTATTGAAGTTTCAAGTTTTGATTTTCATGGACAGTAGTGAAGTACTGCTTGTACAAATATCCATGAAACATGAGAATTTGTAGGTAAACTTACATACCATATGTATATCTCTTTTTTCTGTCTATCAGTGATAATTAAAACAACTAAAAAGATGGAAAACATATAATAATAAAAACATTATTCAAATTTTGAATGGTCACATACAAGAATAAGTGCATTTTTAAAAGAAATATCTTTGTTTGTTGCCAGAAATAAATCCAAAATCAAGACAATTTTTAGTAGTACAGGTAGATAAAGTTTATGCCTGTGTTATGGAGAACATTGATAAAGTGACATTAACTGCTTTAAGAAGAATTTAAATTTCTAAGATGTTTAAACCACTTTTCCATTTCGACGGTCACAATAATTAGAGGTTTACTTTAAGATTCAAGCATATCTATTTCAGTGAGATGACCTGAAAAAAAGAAAGAGAAGATATTTATTTCTGTAAATAAATGCTCTTCTTCTGAATATCTGACCATTTAGAACTTGAATAAAGGTTTTCTTTCTTGTAGTTTTCCCATTTATTTACTTGTTTTTAAAAAAATTATCAGTCATATCAATTGTAAAAGGCAGACTACAAGTGGTTTAGTATGACTCATAAGAGATGATAATTATAACTGTTTGACCATTACAGAAGACCTCATGTAAACATTAGCTCACCAGAGCTGAAAATGAACCTCACCCAGTAACATGTCAGGAGATAAGAAAGTCTTGTGTTTGTCTATTAACATGATAGCATTGGCAACTGTATTTTGTAATCTCTCTTCACTCGCTGGTTAGATATTTTCTAATATTTACACATCTAAAAAAAAGCATTAAATTACATACTACCTGTCAAAGTAATTCATTATCAAAATACTGTCTATAGCTCTGATAAGATTCATAAGCATTACAATTTTGTTTTGACAACTGAAAACCTTTATATATCAAGAGGAAGAGACTATAACTGTAAAAGCAGACCATATACGGATTGAGGCAGGTACATATGACTCTCTCTCAGTTGAGGTCCATTGATTGATTGATTTGTTTTCTATGACTTACGACTTTTATGATTTATATCAACCTTCTGAAGGTTATTTAAAGCCAGAATATAATTTTAGATTCTCAGAATTTTTTGGTTGAGATAATAATGGCTTAGTGATGCAATTCTACTAATTAACCGATTACTAGTGCACGGAAGAGGTGGCTTCATAACTTTTCATCTGAAATTTGTGCATAAGTAAATATAATAAACCCCACTGGAATTGGAACTCATTTCTCCAATTAAAAATTCTTTGCCATTATGTATTACACCACCCACACATCCATGCTTACAGCACATGGTATTCTCAAGTGGTCATCCATCCAGGTACTGACCAGGCTTAACGTTACTTAACTTTACGGATCATATGGGAACCGGTATTTCAACATGATGTCATTGTAAGCCTCAGTTTGGGGATAGAAAAAATCTGGTGTAGAAGAAAATATCTGGAGTAAGGCAGGTACACATGATGCTCTTTCAGTTAAGTTCCACATAACTGACATGGGAACACTGTTGAAGAGTTAGCAAGTTGAAGGAAGTGGCATATACTCTGTTGTTTCAGCCAAGTTCATAAATAAGGCTTTTATGGATCTCAATCGTCAGTTATGTTTTTTCTTGGCAAAAAAGGTGGATAATTCCTACCTGTATATTTTGGACTCACCTGGATAAGTTAGTGGTTGTATAGTTACATTAAATATCTTGCACTACTAATATAAACTGATCTATTGTGAACTTAATATCTGTATACAAAGTTGTGATTTTTTCAGTACTCCTCAACTTCCTTCGCCTTTATTTCCTGCACTTACCAATGAAATATAGTAATAAGGTAAATATGTATGATCAACATTTTTCAATTTTAACCAATTTAAAATTTGTTTTAATTTTGTAAGTATTGCTCTGAAAATCTAAAAAAAAAAAAGAATTTCAATGGCCAAGATTTAATGCATGAATGACTACTATTAAAAGGACGATTTTATACATATATATCGTCATCCACAGACAGACTGTTTCACTGTTTCACAGCTCACCAGCATCACTAGACATTCAATTGCTTCAAGCCGGGCCCACAACCTGACTTTTTTCGCATCAACCAGAGATCCTAACCCCTAGGCTATCGATGCCTGGCATGGAGAAATCTTTGTGTATTTATTTTTTCATAAACATGCTAATGACCTAGAGAACTCAATTCAGTCCATATATATATATATATATATATATATATATATATATATATATATATATATATAATATGAATACACTGCTAATAATCTTACAAACTAGAAACATTATAAATGGTTTTATGAAAAATACACTGAAAAGCATAAGGAAGCTTTTAGTAGACAAATTAATTAGAGTATAAGTCTATATGTGTATATTTATATTTTATAATTCTGTAATAAGGCAGTATATGAGATGCAGCTATTTAATTCCAAGGAGGAGTACATTCAGAAATGTTGAAACTACTACTTTCTTGAGAAGTAGAAGTCATTCACTGTTGAACAGTAGAGGAAGTTCTACATGTTCATGTCATACCGTTGATGAAAAAAAGTGAAAGTAATCTGGAGCAGCTAATTAACATAAAGTTTTACCTGAAGATTAGCAAAAATACTAGTGAATGGCTTATGGGAAAATTATGAAGAAATCAATTGTTTTTGATGGCATAGGTGGTTCAAGGAAGGGCAAAACAGGTGCATGGTGATGTAAAGAGTTAAATAACCAAAACCACAAAGAACAGATGCTAATTTGGATAGAGTGTGAACTTTTCTGTGCTCAGATTGAAGATTAAATGTGTGAATGGTAGCTGAAGAACTAAATATGAACAGGGAAATGATGTAGCATATTCTACCAGAGGATTTGAGAGTGAGAAGAATTTCTTTAAAGACAGTGCTTTGAATCTTCACTGATAAGCAAAAATGTTGACTTCACTTTTCATCTGATCTTTTGAATGATACAGATATGTTTGATAGGAATATAACTGGTGATTAGACAAAATACCAGAGCCTGTGGTAGAAAACAAAGATATTTCACCTCAGCTAAAAAAAGCATGTGTGCACCTAAAGACCATATATGTGTGTTTTTTTGGTCATCAGAGGAATATTTACAACAAATTCTTGGCACAAGTACAAACTGTTAATTAACATGATTCTTTTGAAGTGCTGAAGGGATTACAAGAAACATTTTTGAGAAAATAGCCAAACTCTGACAAATGGATTGTCTTTGATGACAATGCTCCAGTTCATGGTGTGTCAGGAGTTCATAAGTTCCTGCCTAAGAAATGGAAAAATGACTTAGAATTAGTTGCAAGGTCTGCTGTTAGGAAAGTTGGTTCACTGTGGTTTTTTAGACCATTTTACTTGCCAGAATCTATTTTACACATTTATAAGTTTACCATTCATCGAATATTCTTGCAACATCTGGTTTTGCACTTCTGCTACATATTTAGAGAATCTGCAATGTTATAAATTTATAAGACATCTCAGCTTCAGTTTATTTTTGTAGCATTTGTTCTATATAATACTTAAGAGCCACTTAATGAATGATATAACAACAATTTCCATACAAACAATACATATAAAAAAAATTAATTAAAAAAAAATTAATTAAAAAAAAATTATAGATTGGAAGAAAAATTTGCATTTGGAAAAATTATACAAATTATGAACGAACACGTAAACAAAAGTGAAAATTCATGAACGTGCGTATTTAAAAATACATAAAACTGCATGTGTACATAAGGGTTAAAAAAAGACATGAAAAATGTGAAAACATTGAAAAAAGAAAATGGAAATATTTTTATTCAAACAATAGTCCTCTTGAAGAAAGAACAATTTCAAGAAACTTCAAAGTTGGAGAAAAATATCAAACTTGATATTTACAGTTAAGTAAATTTATTATATAATATAATATATAACTGCAGGCATTCATGGAAGTATCTTCTAGCACACACTAATCCTACATCGAAAGCATAAACATAAATAAATTTATGTTTATGCATAAATTTTCCCACCAACATAATATAGGTTCTTTGTGCCTTTTCTATAAATACTCTCATGGTAATTGTTCTGATGGACTTTCCTAATTTGTACTTAGACCTCATGAATTTAAGCACAATACTAGACTGGCATCAATGACTCATCATTTTACAGTTGAAATGTTTAGATGGAACAAATTTTATGCTAACAGTTTCTTTTACTGTTCTATATGATAATGTTTTCTTTTTTTCTCGTATTCTTTCATATTCCATAACCCCCTCTGTGTATTAATGGCTCTATTACCTTGTTTAGGGTGAAAGGATTCAAAACAAAAAAAAAATAAATCCATTACAAAGGGGGCCATCCACCTCACTAATAAGACTTTGCTGCCTGTGACATTTTGCTATTTCCAGAATTGAAAAATGCATTGAAGGGATATATCTACTAAAATACCTGACATTCAGTTACATTACCAAAATGTATTCCAGAAAATGAGTTCCAAGAATATTTCCAGCAATGGCATCATCATCCCATAAACTTTGCATTCCATGATTTCATTTGTCACCTATCGTATATTCAGGCCTGTGATACTCCCCACTGACTGAGATACCCGGGCAATACATTGTGATCCTTACTATCTTATCAACATTTGCTTTTTTCCATCTACATTTATATACATTACTATGAGTATTAAGGGATGAATAATTTTTGCAGATTTTTTATGTTTTTTTTTATCTAAATCTATGAATTTGTTTAACTCATGCTAAGTCTCAAAAAGATGATATAAAATTCACTATTTTTTCTCCATATTGTTGAATGTATTAAAATTATTCAACATTTTAACAAGAAAAATCTCAAGTCAATTTGAAAAATGCCGGCATTGTGGATTTATTTGAGATGGAATGCAGTATTATGACATGTCTCTAATTTGTATTTAGATACATTGTATTCATTTTCAAATTTTCTAGTTGAATTGTTTGTCTATATATCATATAGTCCATTATTGTGCATGATTACATTATAATAAAATTTGTATTTTATATGAATACTACCTTAAAAATTGAGATGTACTCATAGCAGAGTAGCTAGGGAGCGCATCGTAAATTTAATGAGGGCCCACAAGACCCCGGCTGTGATTAAATACCTTTTAAAAACATCTAAAAAGATCAGGAAATCAGAATGACTGCAGAGGAAAAGCATTGCATATCACAGTGGCATTTAGATTAATAATGAACGCAAATTTTTATTTCATACACCTGTAATTATTCATCTGAAAAGACACAGGTGTATGCAAAGAGCAAAAGAACAAAGGAAAAATATGTAGACACCAGAAGAAATAAGAAAGGAGACAACATAAAGAACAAAATGTAGCCACTATAAAAAACAAAAAATAGCTACTAGAAAAAATAAAAATCAAACAACATAAAAAATAAAAGGTAGACATCATAAAAGAAGAAAAACAAAGACCATCAAGAAAAAGGTGGACATCTCAAAGGAAAAAATGCAGATAAAATAGAAAAAAAGGTAGACATAAAAAAAGCCAAAACCATCAGAAACAAAAAGTAGACAGCATAAAAACAAAACAAAATATAAACAACATAAAGAAATTGAAGCAAATTACTATAATACTGGGTAAAAAAAAAAAAAATTGATGTGTGAAGATTTAAATTTGATATACACACACAGACACACGTTTAAGCTTTTTTTTTTATATGCTATAATGGTTATTGTCTGTTAATACTGGTGAGTATGCGTGAATAGCAAACTGATTTTTAGAAGACTGTTGTCTTAGCTTTTTGTTACTTTTTTCTTTTGTATGAGATAACATGTTTTCTGTTTAATCCCTACTGACATCTTTAACTGTTTGAAATGATTTTGAAGACAACAGAATTTAAAAAAAAAATCTGACAAAATGAGAGAAAATCTCATGTCAAGAAAAGATAAGAGCCAATCTCTATGGTGAAACTTTGAAGTTAACATTGAGATGATTCAACTTTACGATATTATGAGGTGAAAATGCTGTGATTGAAATAACTTAAGATCCTTTTACCTCTTTGTTAATGCTGCAATATTCCAACTACTTCACAATAATTTTCCTTACATGTTTTACAGATTTGAAATTGGTTATTTTAACTATGTCAATGCAGACTGTTGGTCTTGTTTTAAGAATTAAAGCAATAAATAGGAATCAAGTCTGGAGCCTTATAATGTTGAAATGAAAAAAAAATGTCATTATTTCTAATTTGGAAAAAAGTTTTTCAACTTCACGTTTAGTCACATTATTGAAAAATTCATTAGGCCTTAATCATTGTAAAACAGAGACAGGGAAATATTTAGCTGATACTTAAATTTTTTTCTGATTTTACAAGTATGTTTAAATAGAATTTAAAACCTACAACAAGATAGCTGAAAAA